CGCGCTTACTTCTTCTCCACGAATAAAGAAGGATCCCTCGACGTCGAGACTCCTAGAGCGTCGATCACGTCGAAAATCGACCAGATCGCCAATAAACCGAAAAATATTTGCATCTCCTTTTGCATCGTGTCTCTGTTTTCGTTCCACCCTGAAGAGTACAGATCAAAGGCTACAACATGATACTGAGAAATTTCGCCTTCTTCAATTTAATTTTTCCAAAAATTCCACGAGACAGAAAATCGTTGAACGTTAGAATTTGGTGTGAATACTGCTGTCAATCGTGTCGTAGTCGTTTATTTCGGAATGAAAAGGTTTGTTTCTTCGAATCACTTGTTTCCCTCGTATGTTGCACGATGAACGGAAAGTATCGCAGTTCGCGTTAACCGTTCACGCGGAATATCGACCATTTTTAGTAAGTCAATACAGGCTCGTTTATTTTTCTCATTTTTATTCACTTCAATCGACGCGATCTTCAATCCGTTGGACGCGTGTTGCTCGTCGCGATTTCAACGGTGCACGCGTGTTGGATAAATTCCACGCGGAAAATTTCGCGTCGTCGAGGACGACGCGTACGCGCTAATAAAATAAAAAAAAAAAAAAGGTTAACCGGTTTTATTTGCAGTACCTTTATTCGCGTTATCCGTGAAACCGTACAAAAGTTTGAAACGTCGAGTATCAATTTTATCAAACAATCTATCTACCCCTTTAGTTTCACGATCGTAAGCCCGTTCACAAATGGGCAAACACGCGTCAGCCATAAACGTATGAATAGTACGCAAAAGCAAACACCGATTCCCACAAACATATACATACCGTGTTCCGCACACGTCCCAATACGAGCATTCCACCGATGTTCAACATCCGCGATTGCAAATGTGCTAATTAAATAATTCATCGTTGTCGTATTAGATCTTGCAATTAAATGCGATTTCGTTTACTCTACTTTCTCTCGTTTTTTCCAAGACTTCCTCTAAGTTCGAGTGGAACTCCAGAGTCTCGTAGATTTTAACGAATTTTTGTTAATCCTCTAAGTTCGGAGGTGTTTTAAACTTGTAGAATTTTTTAGACTATTTTTTGAAATAGTATGTTCTGTGCTTCGTGAAAATGTGGAAATCACGGGTTTAGAGGGTTACTATGACTTTTTTTCTCTTTATTCAGAATATTTTTCTATATTGAACCGTGATCGTGAAAAGTACCGATGTGCTTAGGGTAGAACTAACCTTCGGATCGCGGTAGCCGGGTCACAGTTGACCCAGCTTTTAGGTGTCTCTCTTTCAATACATATTCGAAACAAAATCACGACTCTCCTCTCCTTATGATGTAGACGTGTTTCTTATTTCGATCACAATGTATTTGTGAAATTTTAAACAATACAATTGTAAGGCGCCGTGCGACGCGCCTAGGCAACGCCCTAGACAAGGAGCAGCGCAGGTTGCACCCCCACCCCACGGCTTGCAGGGCCCTAACTGCCTGCAGGGAAAAAGGGCAGCGGCCCACACAATACCGTACATAGCCATCGACGAGCGAACCAACGTTATTTTAATATCCGTCATTTTAATCACCTGTAATTTTTTACTCTTACACAATACTTAGTGAAATAAAAAAATTTGGTTTCGCTTGCATACGAAAAAGATTTTAGGGTTGTCATTTATAAAGTCACTAATCTAGAACAGAGAGCATTGAAACCCCGGACTTTTCTCTCTGAAACCCGGACACTTCTATTTCCTAGATCAATTACGATACTCCAAGATAAAAACTTCTTTCTTGCGTTTGCATTTAGACTGCTTCCAACGCGAACGCAACACTTGAAAATTGCTCCTAGAAAAACAGATGCATTGCTACATATGGTATATTAGCAGAGATGCGTCTGACGCGTGCTAGATCAACGCACAGATAACACGGATGATCGGTAGGATCTAACGGTTTGGACAGCAAACGAACATCGGAAAACCCGTATCACTAGAAAATCCGCTCGAACCGTCTCCGAACGCCTTAAAAACTAAGACAAATCCGGGGAAACCCGAACGGATGGCAACCCTAGTCATATTTGACCCAGCATCCGCCTATCCGCTGTCTGACAGTTAACTCTTTGCGATCGAACCCCGGGATATTCCCGGCAAGGCCTTGTGGACCTTTTGTCTGCAGAAACGGGGGGAAAAAAGAAGAATAATATGCACACAGCTTGAACAAACTCATTCGAATAAAATTGAGACGTTTTTTAGACGACAATTGACTGAGCGCGCGCTGTAAAAAAATAATTCCAACCAGTCGACTACCGTGCCTATGGAAAACACGACGACATAGAGTCAAAGGAAGCTCCATGAAAATAATAAATACAATTCGTTCAAATTTCGACAGACTTCTAACAGAAAAGTTCCTCCCTCCGCTGAAATGGAATCGAGCTGTTCCTCTTGCCTAACCCTTTGCGGTCCTATGTCGAGTCGGACTTAGGAATTTTTCCCTTCAGATATTATACAATGATAAATTATGCAGGATTGTAAGGAGAATTGAGAAATTGAAGGTGTTGTGAGAAAATCCGTCCCGAAGACGGTGAAGCGAGCACCTTGAAGCCAGGCCCAGCGCGCTCGGTGGGGGTGACTCCGCCCCTTTGGGCCTTTCCCTGGGACTGCTCGCGTAGGGGTGGACAGGGATCGGCAGGACGACGCGTACACACTCTTACCGAGACCTTCAACGTACACCTTTGCAAGCGACGTCCGATTAACGTAGACATAGATTCTGAGTGGAATATATTGTTGCGGAGGACGTAGATACTTTTAGTGAATTTTACGCCCACCTTACTCCGAGTTAGAGTACTTTCTGACAGCGTATTTTATAGAAATGGATTTATTTAACGTGGGTTAACTTGCTTAGCTACTCCGAGAGTACTTTCTGACAGCGTATTTTATAGAAATGGATTTATTTAACGTGGGTTAACTTGCTTAGATCGTCACCGAGCGACTCTCTAACCAAGACTGGCCTTCCGACTAGGAAAGCCCCTTTTTCCAGCCGTTGCCAAATGTGTGTCGTCAAGGGCCTCGAGGGCTGGTTGACGATGCTCGTGGCGTCGTAGTCCTCGTGCCCCATATCGCCCACTCTTATTACTGTAAACATCCGGGCTGGCCGCCCGAATGCCCGTCTCGGCGGTGCCCCCGAATTCTCTTACACGATAATAAATCATTCCTTCGTGCATTGATATTGCACCGAAACTTAATATTTCATAACTAATATTAAACAAAGACAAACTACACGGTACTGCCACACACTGGCCAAACTGGACTATTCGGACGGCAAAGGGTTACCGAGCGTTAATTTTCATTCTCTTCTTTTAAAAAGAAAAAGAAAATCGAGTTCCTCAGTGGGGCGAACTGATTAAAAAAATGCATCAACGGTAAACACATTTCGCGGTTCCATCTATCCACGAGGGGTTAGCAGAAGGGACATAGCCCGACGAAGTCGTAAAACAAAAGTCAGCTTGGATTACGGTGCAGAACGCCGTCGTAGATAATCTCGACACCGTTCGGGATATTCCTACGGGGGATACAATACATTCGGATGCCGGACAAAAAAGTTCACGTCGCGTCATAAATAACGGAGTTGCGATATAAATAACGAGCCGTTGCTAATTTAGATCCCCGGTCGGATAAAACCAATATCAAAGGTATTCGCTTCCAGCGGCCGTTTCGAGCGTTTCACCGCGTGGTCGACACGCTTTGTTGTACATCAAACAGGACTTTTTTCCGTTCGTTTTCGTTCTTTTTTTCGGGTGAATCATCGAAATGTCTTTGCGCGTTTGCGTTACGGCGCTGCTCGCGTTAAAACGTTTATCGCGGCCAGACTGAACGCGAAAGTTCAGCGAACATACATCGTCCGCGGTGTATGAAATTGCGTTTCTCGACCGTTCTATGCGGACAGGGTGTTTCCTGTAACTCGAGAACCTGAAGTATCTTCGTTTCCCTTTCGACGATACGAAGTAATTTTGGAGGAGGAAATTGAGTCTGCTTGAGAGGGCAAATTTTGCTTTGAAGTAACAATTCTCTTCAGGGTCACATCTTTCGAGATTTCGAGGTCATATTTTTTGAGATTACAAAGTTATATTTTTCGAGATTTAAAGGTCACATTTTTGCGAGATTTCAAGGTGACATTTTTCGAGATTTCAGGATCACATTTTTTCGAGATTTCAAGGTGAATTTTTCGAGATTTCAGGATCACATTTTTCGAGATTTCAAGGTGACATTTTTCGAGATTTCAGGGTCACATTTTTCGAGATTTCAAGGTCATCGTCATTTTTTTCAATGAAATGATACAATTTCGTTGTCATATTGTTACAGTTGACAACAAAACGAGTTCCACCGTGTGAAGATCATTTTAAAAAATGACAATGATCTTGAGAAGAATTATTTTATATAACCTTATATACAGGATGTTTCAATAAAAATTATTGTGCATTGAATGATTACTAATAAACACTCTGGAAATTCTTTATAGTCGGCACATTTAGTTTCTTCAATTTCTACGTGATCCTTTTTCTCATAAAATTGTCAAGCAAATTCAGAAAAAATCAATCGCTATCAAGTGTAACACTTTTATTCAAAAAGTATGAAATTTACAGCAATGAGAATATCACAAACATCTAGTATAATATCGACAATTAAACGTACGATTTGTATGAGATTGTGATAAAAATGGTTGCGAATATGCTGCGATAATGAAAATGCTCACATAACTTATCGAATTTATTTCAAAACATGCTTCCTTACTTGACAGTTTCTCGAGATCATTATACCTAAAAAATAAACGATATGAAGTGAAGATGTGTAAGAGATCTCGTGTGTAAGAGATAACGTTTAACAAACACATTCTCTATTGCTTCATCGGACAGCGGCCTTAGTATTTTCAACCGCGTCTCGTGTGTAAGAGATAACGTTTAACAAACACATTCTCTATTGCTTCATCGGACAGCGGCCTTTTACATTCGGCCACTGATCGATACCGTGAAAATTAGCGAGTGTTCTTCACGTGTTGACGTAAGCGGCTCGAATCCAATCTCGGAAGTAACCAGTCGAGGTGAATACCGTGTAAGAGCGATAATCACATCTGTTGGCCTTGACTGGGCTGACACTGACGATACCGCGCAGATACCAAATTCCTTCCATTTCGAAGCACAGACCTCCTCCACTGTCGCCGTCGCAAACGCTCGAGCCTAACGATTGAACAGTTCAGTGAGAAAAACGAGGCAAATCACTGTAGACAATTTTTTCTTTAATTTTTCGTTAGATTTTTCATTATTTTCATTTTCCTTTTCATTAACTTTTCACTAAATTTTTCATTAGAGTAACGCAGAATCCTTGACAAAATTAAAAAGAACGATTTGTTCTGGATGATTTTCCCTTCACTTCTTCGTGACGTCTAACTCAACTTCCTCGATTAGATTGCTCCTCACAGACGATATGATAGATTTGAACGGTAGCAAGATTAATTACTGGGAAACCCCGGATCATTGCGATTCTTGGAAAATATAAACGAGAATTTAATTCACCGTCAAACAAGCACGAATACTGCGAAATCTACACTGTTTGTAAAAAGAAAAATAAGCACCAAGTGTCTTATATCATCGATACTAAAAATTGAAGATTATTTGCTAACAGATTATTTCCTAAATTAGTTACTACATAGAAATCTGACGGAAGTCGAGACTTCTAATCACACAGATTAGAAAAGAAATGAAAATTGCATAATACCTTGCAACGTTACAACGCAACACGTGACGTAACACTACTCACCGTTCAATCGACCAGCGCAGAATTTGTCAGACGTAATGAATCCCCGAAACTCTTCAGGCACGGCTGACAGACACTGCCCGTAAGGTACAAACGGCATGTTTACCTCCTGCAGCGTCTCGCTGGGCACATCCTCGATCGTTTTGCCCCAGCCAACCGACTAGAACGAAGAAACCAACCGTGAAACCTTCCGCGACCAGTCCGTAGGTGTTACACCCGCGACAAAGGGATGTATAAAAAGGAGAAGATTTGAGAGGAGAACGAAACATCAGGAGGATAAATTAATTGCCGAGATGGAACATCGTCGCGAGCTAGCGCAACGGTCGTGGGAATTAATTACGGAAATATAATCCGACGTGACTTAATTAGCCAGCTGAAACCAGTCGCGGGGAAGGAGATGAAAGTGTGGAAGCTAGAGAATAAGTCTGGGCGTGAAAAAAAGCGTTCGAGCGATACTGAAGAATTAGACGAATTTGGACAAAATTATAAATGTATATTTGAAATCGTTCTGTCGATAAATCACGATTTCGATTTCATTTTTATTTTATTAACCCCTTAATGCTTCAGTACTGTGCTATGCTCTCTGTTTTATGGTGAAAATGTAGGTTATAGCATTGTAAATAAATGGGAGACTTATTTCTATACGCGTAGGAAATAATTAAAGAAATATAAAATTGAGGGTTTCTGGCATATCGAGTGGAGAAAATGTGAGCGTTAAAGGTAATACTTTGTTCTTAGGGTCCCTTCTATACCCCGATTTCCCCTATGTAAATGAGATCAAACTATTTTCAGTAATACCTGGTTCAGAGAATATTTTTGCATTTTTCATTCTTTCACAGAGTTAGATGCAAGCTATTGTACGGTGAAGAGATTCTTTCAATAATCAAAAATTTCAATTTCTTCTTTTTTTCTTTATTAATATCAAAATTATGATGTCTTGTTCTTTGTGTCCCTTTTTTACCACAGTTTCCCCTATGTAAATAAGATCAAACTGTTTAATTTAAGCTATTATACGGTGAAGAGGTTCTTTCAATAATCCAAAATTTCAATTTTTCCTTTTTCTATTAATATCAAAATTATGATATTTTTTATTCAACGAGTCCCCTCTTGCCCTAGTCTCCCCTATATAAATGAGACCAAACTGTATAATTTCTTTAATTTAAGCTATCATACGGTGAAGAGATTCCTTGCATAAACCAAATTTTCAATTTTTCCTTTTTCCATTAATATCAAAATTATGATATTTTTTATTCTTCGAGTCCCCTCTTGTCCTAGTCTCCCCTATATAAATGAGACCAAACTGTATAATTTCTTTAATTTAAGCTATCATACGGTGAAGAGATTCCTTGCATAAACCAAATTTTCAATTTTTCCTTTTTCTATTAATCTGAAAATTATATTTTCTTCTTAGTGTCCCTTTTCTACCCCAATCTCTTCTACGTTAACGAGTTCAAACTGACTCGAGTCACGTGTAGTTCAGCGTACAGTGAATGTTTTAATTAAAAAAAAAAAGAAAAACAAGGCTCTCTCACCTTTCCGTTCTGGCCCAATTCCAATTGCCTAGTCTCGTACACGTTGTCCCAGTCTATGCAGATCGGCCGTACCACTGTGGTTAACTCGAACGGTGTCTTCAATTTCAGAAGGGCTATGTCTTGGGCGAAATTCCCCTTCATGCCGATGTACCGCTCCGGCAACGAGATCTCGGCCAGCATCGATTTCTGCACGTAATTCTCGTTCGCGTCCCAACTGCGATAGTGCTTGCCCGCCGCCACCGCGTACTTCGATTTGTCCTTCAGTTTACCGTACACCTCGTCGTAGAAACAGTGAGCGGCTATCGAAATAATTTCCCTGTTGTTTTATCATTTAGAAGCGTTAATGGGAAACGGGGATTCTTATGGAGCATTCTTCGTGATCAATTTGTACGTACGAGCAGTTGATACTTTTTCTTCTTTCTGTTTTTGTTAACCCTGAGTAGGCAAATATATTTTTACACTTACAATTAGTAAGCAAACTGAGTACTTCGTGTCTAAATTTAATTTTTTTACTGTTTTAAGTTTTGAGGAAACCTGAACAAATTCTGGACTACTTGTCAGAGTGTTTACTATATTATACAATTGTTCGTTAAGTCAAATGTTTGAAACTTGTTTCAATAAAAATAGAAATTCGTTTTGGAGAAGTACAGGAGCGAAATTTTACTTGGATCGCCAAAGACCCAAATTGCCTACGGAGGGTTAACCCTCTATGGGCCCGTGTAACTTTCAAGTCACATACTAATATATCGTTATTTTATTAAATAATTGAACTCTTTTCCACAAGATGGCGTAAACGCCTTGTTGCACAATGTCTCCTTATTAACCAGTAACTTTCTTGATAACCGTTGTTACTTCAAAGTCACAATATGTATTCGTTATAATAAAATTGTTGAAACTGCTGAATTCATTGTTATTCTGTATTTATAGGACGATATTTCTTAATTTTACGTTACATACATTTTTTTATAGTCGAGAAAAAAATTCGGCCCATAGAGGGTTAATGTACATTTCGTTGTAGTTCAATTTTAATACGTATGATAACCTACATTTTTATTGTACACAGTGTTTCGAAGCTAAATCACTATTTCAGCCGTTGGATTTCATGATTCTTACGGAGATAAATGTACTCATGACTCGTATTTGAAAAGTTGATTTGAAAAATGATATTTTTGAAATTTTTAAAAAAATTGGTACGTGTAAATGAAGAATAAATGAATATTACTTAAACCTATATTTAGCATATTTAGAAGTACGTATTATTCGCAATGCAAATATTCTTTAAATGGAAAAAAGTGTTTCCTTAAATTTCGCTTTTGCAAGTAAACGAAAATAATTCTGAGCGCAGCAACCCTTACGAAACCATAAGCTGGACGTTAAGCGAACTGAACATTCCCCATGCCCGAACCAATAAATGCCAGTAATTTTCAAGGAAAATCAAAAGTGAGGAAAATGAGCACGAAGGGAAAATGGTTAATAAATGTTAAAAAATGAATTTTAACTAGGACAGCAGAGCGGCGGTTTCTGTTGTAATGAAAAGCAGTAATCAGAAAGAGGTTAGTTTCTATGCCGTTTGTTGGAATCACCTTAACATTCTCGAAACATTTGCTCTATTAACCGAGTGAAGGAAAAAAGGAGAGAAAGAAAGAGAGACAGAGAGAACGAAGCGCGAAACAGCTTATGAAACGTAACAGCGAGTTGCAAGCTCGCGTGACTCTGAAGCAAAAATTAATTTTCTCAAACGAAATTACCTGATACGACTAGATTGCTGCTTATGAGAGTGCCTCCGCAAATTTGCTCGTAATTGTTTTTCGCTTTTTCGTTGTAAATACCGACGTGCCACGGAAATACACCGAGCTTGGCCTCGAATCCGTGCACGACCAGCGCGTTACCCTGTGAAATGGCTATTCCACACTCTGACGAAGCATAATGGAACAAATTAGAGGCTGAACATATCCATGAACCTTCGTTAAAAAAAAAACTTTACTAGAGGAGCAAAGAACGGTAATTCGAAAAATGCGCTATTCTTTTCAATATCCTAGAAAGCTAACGCGATAAGGAAAAGAAGAAGTCAGAGAGATTAGAGTGAGGTGAGTGAGGAACGTCGTTACCCTGTTTGCACCTCAATTTATTAAAGTACAAATTTATGGTCGTACGGGCGTGCAATCGGCCGAGGAAATACAATCGTTTATTTTGTTACTCGTCCTGGCGGCAGCGGTTCGGCGGGTACGTCGCGATGGTCGGTAAAGGAAAAACTGTCCGGAGGTGTAGGCGTACTGGGTTTTTATATTGTTAGGGCAGGGAGAGAGGAGTAGCGATAAATAAAGATAGAAACGGAAAATTTGCAGAAAGCGGGGCCGTTCGTCCTCGTGCGAACCTGGATGCCACATGTTCGCTTCTTAGGCCACTCGAGGACGAAGGCAAGTCCTTAACCCGGGGAGAGACAAAAGAACGGAAACTAAAATCTGAAGGAGTTGGAAAAGAGAAAGTTCGCGTGGAAGAATAGAACGAGGTTCGGTAAGGATTTGTTGACGACGACAAGAGTACCCGCCACAAGAGGATATTTAAAAATATATATATATTGATTTGGGAATCTCCTGTAAAAATTAAAGTTTCGTGAAAAATTGGGGTATTTGAAACAAGAAAATTAATTAGTTTGTATATTTCTCGTGAAAATGAAAGATCGACAGGGAAGAAAAGTGAGAACGATTAAGATATCGAAAAGAATATATTGATTTGCATATGTCTCGTAAATATTAAAAAATAAAAAAAACTAGTTTGTATGACTTTTATAAAAATTAATATTCGACAAAGCGCGTAAAATAACAATTTCTTGATCGTCCCGTTTATCTCGCGAATATATCAAGATTTCACGTACGAATTGTTCTTTGCTCTATTTAGAAAGTTAGCTGAATTCAGCCGGAACGAAGCAAGATACGCAAAATCATCGTTACATACCTGGAAGACAACGGAAGAGAGGACGGTCCCATAATCCTTCTTCGAGACAAGTGACTGCGCGATACCCTGGGTCATTCGTCACGGGCAATTTGTAGGACGATTTGCACGACAAAGTCGCCACCGTTCCCGGTTTAATTCGATCGGTGCAAGACACTTCGTTCCCCTGGTAAGCGCATAAAATATTCACCGTGGAGCTGCTCAACGGAGAACACGTTTCTGTCGCAATGAAATTAAAAAAATAAAGAAAAACAATCAGACAACAAATAAATGATCATTTCTGTGAAATCTTGGCGCGATTTTTCTCTCGTCAGATAAACGATAAAAGCTGCACAAATGTGGGTGTAATTTTTTTTTATATTTATCATTATTTCTTTTTACCTGTGTTTATAGTTATTGTTATAAAATATATTGCTGTTGAACTTGTTATCAAGTGTTATACAACCACAAAAGACAGTAGGTTCCGTAACATTAAAAAAAAAAAATGTTCAATTGGATCTCGCGTATTTATGCCTCGTTTATTCGAATTGAATTATCGTAGAACAGCAGATGCGTAGTTTAATGAACATTTTATTAAAATACTATTGTATCGATTACGTTGAAAATTTGATCATACATACTGGTGTCACGCGATACTCAATTATGTACATTATAGCTAAAAGAGCTGGGGCATGAAAACTTCAATGAACACCGGATAATAATCAATAATCCAAATAATGCACCGGGCAATAACTCGGTAATTAATCAATTAATTCAGGGAAATACCAGCGAATTACATAAATTATATAATCCTGTTCAATTATTAATTCAGACGGTGTGTACGAACACACTCGAGTTTCGGAATCAATTTTAGGAAAATCGATGGCTATTATCCGAGCGGGGAAATTATCGGTAAAAGAAAGAATCGGTGAATCTCCATTATTCGAACGCACTTGTATCCTCGCATATTTTATATAAAATAAAACTCTCCGTGACCGTTGAAAGAGAAAACATTCAATTTCCCGCCAACGTGAAATATTAATTAACCATTCGCTTCGTCGTTGGTAGGAAAAATAAATCGTACGTAAAATTTGAAATAAAGCTTCTCGCATAAATCAACGAAACAAAATTAAACGATTCTTGGAAAAAACATAAATAAACAAATTACACGTAAAATCCCGAGTAAAATTCATAATTTCTCGCATAAATCGTATGTGACAATTATGGAAGTTGAACGATCCCCGAAAAATCTCAGCCATAAATGGCCAATTGGACGTGTAGATACTTTTCGAGTGGAGAATACAACGTTACACAGGTTTGGAAATAAAACGATGTTCGCTAATTCGAGAAAATAAGTTGGCAAATGGACTTACTGAGACACGAGGGCATGTTGTGCCATTTGTCGTTGACGCAAACAGGAACGGAGCTTCCTTTCAAAACGTAATTGTTCCGACAGGTGTAAGTCAGAATGCTGTTACTGGGAACTTTATCCCCGGGACGCATCGAGCAAGGTTTACCGCAACCACCCAGCTCGTAACTTCCACCTTCAGGTTGTTCGGGTAGGACGCAGCCAGATTCGTTTTCCGGTGTTCTGCGATGTCCAGCGGGAATAAATAACGGTGTTGCAGTTAAACGCGTTCAAGTAAAAGAATAATTGAATTCTTAGACGTTCCTCTGATTGTGACACGATCGTCGCGGTTTTCGCGATTTTTCTCAGGAAAGCTTCGAGAAACTTTATTATTTCATGCTTTTTGGTGTTTCGCGAGCGTTATGTTCGTGATAGAATTATGTTCGCGAGTATTACGTTCTCCGCGATTTTTTCACGAAACGTTAGAGAAACTTAATTATTTTATATTTTTTGGTATCTTTCATTTTTCTTTTTCTTTTTCTTAATATTTAGTTATTTAGCCCTTCCTCTGATTATGTTCGTGATGGAATTATGTTCGCGAATGTTATTCTCTCCGCGATTTTTTCACGAAACATTCCAGAAACTTAAGTATCTTATATTTCTTTGCATCTTTCATTTTTTCTTTTTTTATATTTATTTATTTAGCCCTTCCTCTGATTATGTTCGTGATGGAATTATGTTCGCGAATATTACGTTCTCCGCGATTTTTTCACGAAACGTTAGAGAAACTTAACTATCTTATATTTCTCGGTATCTTTCATATTTCTTCTTTTACATTTATTTATTTACCCCTTCCTCTGATTATGTTCGTAAATGTTATGTTCTCCGCGATTTTTTCACGAAACACTCGAGAAACTGAACTATTTCACGTTTCTTTCCTTTTTCTACACTTATTTATTGCTAAAATGAAGAATTAACTTACGTAGGACAGTCGAGTTCATCGCTTGAATCGCGACAATCTGGTCTGTTGTCGCACCTCGCAGCCTTCGGCAAACATTCGTTGCTTCTACAACGGAACTCGTTTTTCCTGTTTTCGAAATGACAACAAACGTTGATTACATGTTTGAAGACGCTGTATGCGAGGTGTTTCGCTGATTGTACCGTTTCCACTCGCGCGATGTCGGCGAGGTGGAAAAGGGACGGTAAGAAAATTCGGATCATTTGTTTAAAATCTCTTGCCACCTTAACTATCTTAATATCCGGTATATTTATAATTTTACAGAAGATTCTCTATCTATTTTTTTACGAAAACTTTAACTTCAAGCTAGAATAATTTCCCTACCTAATCACTTTAACCCTTTCAGGCTCGAGATAACTATCTATCGTTACAACTGTTACTTTCGAAAATGCTCTCATCGCATTTCATCGTAAAATTGTAATTATTTTCAAATCAAGACAACAGGAAACAATCGTCTACAATATATTTGCATCGATACTTATTTCTTCGTTCTTGAATTAAACGTACTCGCGTTAAAAATAAATTACGAATATTACCGTCGGCTGCATTTTCACGTTTTCATTAATTTTTCGCATTTTATTTAAAATTGACGCGAAAATAGAGACGCGAATGATTGAAAATCATACTGATGCATTCTAACGTTGCCTGACTTTCAATCGACAGCGATATTTTACTCGTGCACAGCGCGAAAGTAAAATAATAAATTGTACGTATCAGAAGGGCGTATATGTACGCTCTTTATAAGTGACCATTTTTACAGCGCGCGGATAATACATGCTCTTCGTAACGAAAGGGTTGAAGATTTCATCGTTTCTGTCGCAAAAATCCTTCAAGCTCTTCAGCCCCCTAAAAGTCATTGCTCCTGAAAAGGTTAATTCAGCTAGATTAACCTTTTACTTCCCTGCTACATACTTTCAGCAAATCGCGGACGTAAAAGATGGTTTTTTCGGGATTCGCACGTCGGAATAAAAAATGATCCGGTGGAAAGCGAAATCGTGCAGCAGCGATGTCGGATCCCCGCATGTCAGTTAAAACAAAGCGAAGCTAACGATTCGCAATCAAGCTACAATACGTACACTTGTTTCCATCGCCACTTCCCTGGGAACAGATCGTATTCCCTGGATCGAGTTTCCATCAGTAGCTTCGGACCGGGCGCGCGTTTGTCACTTTTAGTTAACCGAAATTCATTAGGACAGTTCGAATTGACGAAGTATTTCATACCTGGAATATCGCATAACTGCCTCTCGATTACTGGGAAACGCATTTTCCAAAACGCAATCCCACGGTTCGCGATATCGGTACATCGTATCGTATTTAATCGATACCTGCCCGTTTTATTGTTCATCTATTTACCGTACGCGCGCACCTGTACGTTTTACTCATTAACGCGATTCCTCCGAATTACAACCGACAAATGGTTCATTTACCAGGGGAAATGACTTCGTTTTAGACTGTTAACGATAAATTTATGGCGGCAAATTAATTATTGATTCGATCATGCTATAGCGAACGTAGACGTGATATTGAAAAGGGGGCGATTGAAAAATTTGCGTTTATTTAAGCGGGAGTGTTCCGACGAAAGGTGGATTTGCTAATCAATTGTCTCGTCTTATCTTCGAATTTGCCAGAGTGTTAGAATTTTCCTCAGATATTATGTGCTGCTTTATTTTATAATTGCCTTTTTCTCACTGACGACGAGATTTATTAGTTTGTTAAATTTAATACTAATCACGTACAGCGATCGAATGGAGTTTTTTAGTGAGTCGCACTTTAGACGAATATGACAGAAAAGATCAAATATTCGAACGATGGCCATATGTGAGAAATATGCGAAAATAGCAAAGTATGTGAAATAACGCGAAAAATAACAAATGTGTTCTTGTACTTTCCTGCATTTCTAAAGCGAAACAAATTAAACTCCTAATACAAGACACATGAACCACGGAAACATAAAGTTTCTACTTCCATAAAACACTTTCTAAGCCTAGAGTTCTAACTAAAACTTATATTCAACAAACAAGAGACCTTTGAACAAGAATCGCTAGAAAAAATAGCGTAGTTAGGCGTCCATATTGTAAACCCAAACTCTCAACACTCTATTAAACCATAAGCTAATCTAAATATATTTTCTCACCTGCATTTAATTTCCTCAGGAGGTTGCGTTCTATCGATTTCGTCACGATCATCAGGTCTATCACCATCAAAAGGTCTCTCTCCTGGCCCTCCTGGCCCTCCTGGCCTTCCTGGTCTATAATCATCGTCGTAGTCCAAATTCGGCGGCCTTCCTGGGCCCTTCCCAGGTTTATTGAAACCAGGAGGACTGCCTGGAGGACCGCCCGGATGCCCGCCGGGAGGACCGTCCGGAGGACCTCCGCCGAATAAACCAGGAGGACCGCCTCCGCTTAATCCTGGAGGACCTCCGCCGGATAATCCCGGCGGCCGGCCACCAGGAGGGCCTCTTTTATCGTTGAAATTCGGCTGTCCGCCGTATCTGTTGCCTCCATGGCCGGGAGGGCCGCGATCGTCGTTCTTCGCCCATGGCGGGTCCGGGCTTCTCTTCACGCGAGCGTCAGCCTGATCGACCACTAGCGAGGTGCAAACAATTGCATCGTGACAATGAATTTCTGGACGTTATCGCGAGGATATTATTGTCGTTCCGAGGTGCAATCGGTTCCGTCACGCGAATCTCTGCCGGAAGAAGCATAGGTTTCGAAAGAACGCGGTATAGACAGAGCGTAGCCATTAGTCCGCGGAACGATCTGGTTTAGTAACGAGGATGATAGTTTATCAAAAATATCAAATTTGCTTTTTAACACATTGCCTAACTGAAAATTTCGATTTTGTTTTTAACTTTGCTGATTTATGCTGGATCTCAATACAAGTATCAGACAATTTCCTTTTTTTGCTGTTTTTTAAAACACCTTTCAAAGATTAATATGTGTTCTCCTGTTTTCCTGTAGGTATATCTTGAAAATTATTGCAGATGTGAAGAAATTGCTAGAATGAAAATTTAGCGTATAGTTTTGGATTTGACAAGATCAAAATTTTTGAAAATAAAAATCTTTCTGATCAGTCAGCAATGTGTTAGAAACGAAGATGTTAGGTAGATTAGATTACAACGCTTATTTGAGAAACAGTTAGTCCCCTTTTAGCTTAGATGAGATTCTACCAATTTTTTGCAGAGAGAAAATATGCAAAGTATTGTAAAAATAGGTGGTGAAACGTAAAACTTTTTTATTGAAAATAAAAGAATCGCTAAGAATGATTTCTAAAAACTGTCTTTAAAAGTGTCCCACAAAATCCTACAAATTTTCTACCCAAAACAGTACAATTTTCTATACAATGCAGATAGTACATCACACCAATGTAAGAACTTTCAACTAAAACCTTGAAATATTCATATAAATCGAACACCAGAGTACCGAAGTGACTAAGTGACCTACATCTGTCAGTCCTTACAAATGAAACTCTCGACTCATCTAAAATGGAACATTCCAAATGTTCATATCTCCTATTACAATCTCCAAAACGTCCAGAACACACTTTCAAATTTTCACCACCCATTTCCAAAGTTGTCCACAGTAACGTATCAACCGTTGTGTAACACCTTTCAATCTCTCCAACCCTCGCGAAACCTCGCCAATTCCCATTAACAAACAGAACTTTTTCAAACTGCCACCGCGTTGCGGACTCGCGAAAGCTATCCAAGAAGAAGAAACCCTCGGTGCACACGCCATGCACTCGTTCCTTTTTGCTCGTGGTTCGACGACAGGCCAGCTAGGTGGAAATCGAGCGTAATACAGGCTACTCACGCGACGCCGATAAAACGATCAGCAAAGGGCAGGCCACCGAAAGTGCAACACGCGCGTTCATAACTGCGTTAACGCCGCGACACCATAACGATAGTCGAAGAATGACTGACCGCGCTACGTCGGCGATCGTGAAACCTCCACGGCCACTTGGAATGCCCCTCGATGACACCGGGAGCCGCGAGAAGACGAAAAAGACCGTGGAAACCGGTTATCAAACCGAACCAACCGATTTACGCTTCGAGATAGCCTACTCGATGACCATGGACGTATCAACTTATCGTTCAAATTGTTCGACTGTATAGGAGGAAAAAGGGGATTTTTGAGGATGACCTTCGTTTCAGGATCTTTGCTAACGTTTTTCGATGGAGTTTCCTGGTTTTTGGTGACATTTTTTGGTCCTTTCTTTGAGAAGAGTTCATTTCTCTTTGAATTGATTCTTTTTGTTTTTCGATGGAGTATCTTGGTTTTTGGTGACATTTTTTGGTCCTTTCTTTGAGAAGAGATCATTTCTCTTTGAATTGATTCTTTTTGTTTTTCGATGGAGTTTCCTGGCTTCTGGTGACATTTTTTGGTCCTTTCTTTGAGAAGAGTTCATTTCTGCTTGAATTGATTCTTTTGGATACTATTTTTGTGTGTAGGTACTTTGGTTTATACCTTTTTATAGGTAAGCTTGCTAGTTTTCTTCGTTGATGAGAGAAAAATTGTAGTCGGATAGGATTTTACATTTTGATACCAGGAGCAGTTATTATTAAAAAATTGGCCAATAAAGTGCAAATTATGTTACATTAATTGTTCAAATTTACAATTTTGTAATATTATTTACTGGAAAGGAATAAAAATTTTCGTCAAAATGTGTTGTTAAAAATATTAAAATATAGTTTACAAAAATATCGAATATCCATGATGAAAAATTTCCTACAGAAAGTTTCACGTTACTTGCATACTTTTCACTAACAAGAATACAACCTTTCCTTAACATTGTATTATTCCCAAAATATGAAAAGGGTGTCTTGCAAAAATGTCGAATAACCAGGTGGAAGAGGTAAAATCTAGGTTTTCGTTAATGAAAACTTTCGTACAGACAATTCTCCGTGTGTATTTCACATACTTGCTTATCATACGATTCATAATGTAACGAGAATGTTATACCGAGAACAGGTTTGTCCAGAAGAGAAGAGCACAAGGATGACCTCATCGACAAAATTTTATTCCATTTCAGTGAAATACATCGCAATACCGATCGCTACGTTTGTCTACGATCGAAACTGTTATTTATCGCGTGTTACACGCTTCCACAGAAGTTATTAATTCTGAATGAAATTGTTCGAAGGTGCTACGGAATTCATTGCGCAAGACAGATTGCGATTAGACGTCACGTAATTGTCTACGCGAATCCGTATCTCTGTTACATCATATCTACATCCGTTTCTATGCGTGAGTTTATAGACGTGTTCGGGCTTAATGGTTGTAGAATTCAACGCAGTCATCGCGATCATTACGTCTGCTTGAAAATATTGCGAACATTTCGTTGCAAAAGAATAACAACGAACATTTGACGATTTAAATGAAATAAATAAAAAAATTTGTTGAGAAGCTATGTTAATAGAGATTAATTTCTTTTGAGAGATCGTATTAATAAATACTGAATTTTTGAGAGATCGTATTAGTATAGATTAATATTTTTTGAGAGATCGAAATTAATAAAGATTAATATTTTTTGAGAGATCGTATTAGTATAGATTAATATTTTTTGAGAGATCGAAATTAATAAAGATTTATCTTTTGAGAGATTACATTAATAAAGATTAATATTTTTTGAGAGATCGAAATTAATAAAGATTTATTTTTTGAGAGATCGTATTAGTATAGATTAATATTTTTTGAGAGATCGAAATTAATAAAGATTAATATTTTTTGAGAGATCGTATTAGTATAGATTAATATTTTTTGAGAGATCGAAATTAATAAAGATTAATCTTTTGAGAGATCGTATTAATTAAGATCGATACCTTTTGAGAGATCATACTAATAAAGATTAATATCTTTTGAGAAACTTTTGAGGAACTTTTGAGAATATTAGTAAAGATGTTTGCGACCACAGTAGATTCAAATCTTATTTTATTTTACACAATTTCTGTCCAAATCGACACAAGTCAGATCAGTTTCTGTCTGTAATTAATTTACCATTTCTGGCACGAAAGGACTAAAATTATTAATTCTTTTACCTTCCATATTTAATACATGTAAAATCATTATTTTGGAAGAACGGTGCGTTAAATTTAAATAATATAAAATTTAAATATTGTAATATAATATA